CTTCTTTATTTCTTAATTGCCACTTATAGTATTTTTTATATTTCTGAGTCTTGTAACGAAGACTAATATTTCAATAAAAACCTTGAAAATTTCTCCCTGTATGATCCTACCTTACCAATAATCTGGTTTTCCTATGATCATAAAAGTCCTGTGAATTACCACAGAGAACTTCTAAAAATATTTTTTTTCTGAGTTTATAAAAAGAAATGCATTTTTTCTAAGCAGACTGACAACTTCTCAAATAAATTATTCACAAAAGCAGAGACCTCAATCTCTTAAAATTCAGTCTATTAAAATTCAACAAAAACATTTAGCATATTTTGATCATAAACACTAGTGATAAGCAGGTCTTGCCTTTGCTCAGTCTTCTTCTTTTTCAAGGTAGTCTCTTCTTGCTGCTGTTCTAGTTTTTAAACTTATGGTCTTGAGAATTCATAAATAAAACAGTTGTAAGATTTTTCATCTTTGCCAAGATAACTTTGTAAAACGTTCTGCCTTTGATATCCACTCTGATGCTTCCATCAATGCAATTTGAGAGCATCTGAAAGAAAAGGGAGGGATTTTTTTGTCACTAGCAAGCTAGAATATTAGCCTGTGTTCTCGGAGAACTAGAAGGGAAGGAAGGAGTAAGATAAATCACAATGTTACCATATTGCTGGATCTTTCACGTGGTGAAGCAGCTGCTCAGAAAAAGCATTGAAGTTTTCTGTGGTGCAGAGACAATATATCTAGTATTATTTGAATGGTCATTCGGTGCATCAGCTCCTTTGTCTTTGAGAGAGAAGAATTTGTATCCTGAAAAAGCATGAAATTAAAGGAAAAAAAAAATCAAGAGATCATTGTGGACATTCTATCCTTAAACTGTGGAACTAAACTCTAGGAGAAAAATCTGTTTGCAGGCATGCAGTTAGCTTACAGATTACATCATGTCCTTCTCATCTGTGTCTCCTTACAGAGATGACTTTTCCTTTAAAGCAATGTGTCTCCTAAGAAGGCATCAGTGGCTTGTTGGTGTGACCCAAGATATATGTGGAAGTATATCAGAACTATAAATTCTTTAAGGAGAAGGAGTCATAGAATCAGAATAGTTTGGGTTGGAAGGGACCTTTAAATGTCATCTAGTCCACCACCCTGCTATGAACAGGGACATCTTCAACTACAGCAAGTTGTTCAGAGCCCCATCCAATCTGACTTTTAATGTTTGCAGGCATATCTACTGCCTTTCTGGGCAGTTCTGTTCCAGAGTTTCAACACCACCATCATAACTTTTTTTCTTGTTGTCACATTCCAATGTGCAGAACAGTGAATAATGGATGGTCAGGAACTAAATTAAGCCAAACGAGGCAAACATTGCATTTGAGAACCTTTTCTTAGTAATGAAAGAGCAAAATAAAAAGGATTTACTCATTTAAAGAAAGCTAGAGAACACAGAGCAAGAAGAAGAAAAATGGGAGAGAGAGGGACAGAGAAGATGAGCGAAAAGAGAGTGTTGCCACCAGAGGTTGGGGAGTGCCCTTGATGTCCTGAGGCGGGGCTGAGCACACTGCCAGCCTGGGCACAGCTCCTGCAGTGGCTGGATATGAGAGGAGGGGGAGCGGGCAGGAGGCCCAGGAACCTGGACAGGGTCATGATGAGGATCACAGTAGTGGGCAGAGTCAGAGGCAGGTAGGGGTGGATGCAGGTGGCTCAGGCAGGGACACAGAGATGAAGCAGGCCAGGTGCTGCTCAGGGACACAGGGAGGCAGGACAGACGTGAGGGTGAGCAAGAGTGAGGGGGAGCGGGCAGGAGGCCCAGGAACCTGGACAGGGTCATGATGAGGATTACAGTAGTGGGCAGAGTCAGAGGCAGGTAGGGGTGGATGCAGGTGGCTCAGGCAGGGACACAGAGATGAAGCAGGCCAGGTGCTGCTCAGGGACACAGGAGGCAGGAGAGACGTGAGGGTGAGCAACAGCCAGCAAGGGCAGGAGACCCAAAAGGCAGGATTCCAAACGCAAATTTGAAGAGCCCACAAAGAGTCAAAAGGCACAACCCCAAAGAGCCCGCCAAGGGGTATGATGCAGTTACTTTTTATATCCCTGGCTCTTCCCAGAGTCTGGCTGCTGACAGGAGACCATAGGCCCAGTCCAATGTCCCAGCGTGGTCCATTGGCAGAGACTTTCTGCTACTTGAATGGGAAGTGTCTCTGGGGTACAGTGCCTTCAGTGTTCCCCTGCCGACTTCCTGTCCCATGCAAGACATGAGCTGCTTGCCAGTTGAAGTCCCCCCAGAGACAAGCCTTTCCTCCATCTTCTCCTGGCTGCCTCCTGGACATGGTGCATGTGCAACCCCTTCCCCACATGCCTCTGACTACCTTTGTTGAGGCATAACAAAATTAAACCAGTTCCTCACAGTTGTAATTAGTCTGAATATATTTCCTTTTAATTTAAAAAATCATTTTAGTAAAGCACAGTAGGCTTGGCTCTACTAAAAAGTCTGTGGCCATTTTTCTTTATAAACGTCATTAAGTATTGGAAGGCTGTAAGGAGGTCTCCCTGGTGCCTTCTCTTCTCCAGACTGAACAGCCACTGTTCTCTCAGTCTTTCCTCATGAGAAAGACATTCCATCCCTCTAATATTTTTTGGCTCTCCTCTAAACCATCTCAAACAGGTGTATGCCTTTCCTGTGCTGAGAACCCCAGATCTGGGCAGAGAACTGTACCTGGGGTCTCATGAGAGCAAGTGAGAGAGAATCACCTCCCTCAGACTGCTTGGTCACACTGCTTTTGATGCAGCCCATGCTTCTAATCTTCTCTCAGAAATGGTAATAATGTCTGTATAGACCCCAAAGAAGATTCTTCTTTTCAACACCACTGAAAACTTAGAAAGTAAAATAATTTGAACAATGACTTATTTAGGTGCATAGCCCATCTGTGTCAAAAGCCTGTAACAGATGCCTACCTACTTTTTTTTGTGCTAGTCAACTGCACATAGCTAGGGTACAAGTCTGAGAACTTATTCTGATGATTGAAGAAAAAAGATGCCCACAGGCATAACATAATATAATTTGCGTCAAGGAATGCATTCCCAGAACATGTTTGGGAATGGTTCTGGGCTTCTGCACAAGATACTAGCTGTTTCCAGCAGATGCTAAACTTTGAGAAGGAAAAAAAGGTTGTCTGGATGCAAACCATTACAACCATCTAGCTTAAGGGCTGAAAAAGTTTTTTACTAGTTACAGCTTTTGTGTTCATAGTCCATAGTGAATTTTTGTTGTATAAATTGATTCAATTATTTTCAGACCATAATAAAAGATGAGTTATTCTGCTGCTTACTTGTGTATCATATCGCTGAACTGTGAACAGTATTCAAGAGTTAGTTAGGCTGAAACATTATAGAGTAATACATTGGAATTTAGCTGTATATATGTTCTCATAGCTATTATTTTGTAAAAATTTCTAATGTCTCTTTTATGCCTAGAATATCTCTAAGATGTTACAGTCATCACTGTATATCTAAACTGAGGATTGAACTTGTTCATCACTTTGTGTATTTAGCTGCATTTAATTTCTTATTTCTTTCTTGACTAGTTTTTAGAGTTGGCAAAATTGTTTTGTAATATTTTTGTAGCTGGTTTTCATTTTTACACTGATAGATAATTTTGAATTATTATATTATGTACAACCCCTTTTAAAAATCACTTGGGCATAAGATGTATAATACTTGTAGGATTCTTGTTAGGGTTCTTTGTGACAGAAACTTATATCAATACCAATATCTTGATATTGATATAAAATACCAAGACTTGATATAAAAGACCAATCGATATAAAAGACTAATATATATTGATATAAAAGACCAATATTCATAAAATTCCAAGATCTTGATATTTTCATTGTATTTTTTTCATGTTAATACATGAGAGAAAATTTCCTCTGAGCTCTTAGTAGTTTATATGGTTTTATGTGAGGGGCTGAAGAACTTTTTTTTAAAAGATCCAAATAGAATTTTGAGTTTACTTTGAACTCCTTCCTGAAACAAGGTTTGTGAATACAGTGTCTAATTGGCAAGTTTTGCCCTATGAGGGAGTAAGAAGAGACTAATGTCTGCATTACTCTGTGACTCTTTACTTCTATAGAAGATGCAAAATCTGAGAAACCTTGTATCAAATGATAACTGAAGTATCTAGGGGGAAAGAAACAGAGAGGCTCTTGAATTTTCCTATATACACCAAGTTTAGGTTTTCCTCCATGCTGGACAAAAGAACCTTGAGAACCAACAAACATTAGTTCTAAACGGAAAACTTACAACCATGACAATGAAAGCATATTTGTTTATTTTTCTAAAGATGTTTTATTGAAAATAAAGACCTACCTAAACAGTTTGCTTTATTCTAATAGGTGGCTTTACCTGTTCTGTATTACTAGGAAATGAAAATGTGGTCATGTTCATAGTTCCATGAAAGATGTTCAACATTATCAGTATGTTCTCCCCACAGTAGAAACTGATAAAAAATAGCTTAAATGAACAAAGAAAAGCAAATAAAAGTTCTTGATAATGACATTTTCATGAGTAAAACTGAAACCCAGCATCCACAACTAAAATATCCCCAATCAAACCAAATCAACCAACCAAAAAAACCAAAAAAAACCAAAAACAACACCCCCAAAAATCCCCCAAGAATATCCCCCAAACGTATTTCTTTAGAAATAAATAAATAATTACATTTCAGAAGAGCTAAGGGATGTCTCAAGCACCTGCACAAGGCAGAAGGAGAAAATACCAATAGAAGAGAACTGGGAAAACTCAAGTTGGTATGACAAGATCAACAAATTTGGAGGAGTGGGGTGCTGAGTGTGCTGATTGAAATAATTCTGGAAGTTGGTAACACATGAGCTACATATTCCCTCCTCCTTTTCATCATGGAAAGAGTCAGAGCCTCCTCCTCTGAGGGTCTACACTGAGCCAAGTGCACCCATGTCCCTCTGGCAGCCATCTGGGGCCCAGCCAGACTGGACTGACAGCTGACCAGACCTATAACAGCAGTTGGACCTGGGTTTGCAACTGGAGCATTTGCAGGTCATTATGCTTTCCACCTTTGGAAACCATTGGAGCAGATGATTACAGAGACAGTAAGGTGGATTTTGATCTCTAGTCTTTCATTATACTATAAAGGAGGATTTGAATAGAAAATGACTGGATGAGAAGTTGGTCCTATTTTAAGTATAAGTCCATGTAGTGTCAAGGCCAAAATCAGAACAGGCCACAGAAAAATTATTATGAATCAACTTTATAAAGGAAGATCACCTTACTTAACAACAAAAGTAAATGAAGCAAAAGATTTATCACTGTTGGAATTCAGTGATAAAATCCAGTGAAATCCAGAGCTTTGGCTCATAGGAGATTTGGCAGATACATTATGCAGCATCTTTCTTATTTTCTTCTGTACAGTCCTTAACACAATACATTCTTTCCACAACTTTATCTTTATTATGCATCTCTTAGAACATTACCCTTGCATTTGCTCCTTTTTTTTTATTCCTCCACAAAACAGAGATTGCACTGTCTTGTCCCTAAAGAAATGACAGATAACATTTTTGGTTTATTGCAGAGACAAAACGTAAAAAGACTCTTTCATTCCTGATTTCCAGAGCATTGTGATAGGATACGAGGACAAAAATAACTCAAAGTAGCTCACTAGACTTTTATGGGCTTGAAGTCTGTGATATTGATACATTAGTTGAACAAGTCAACTGTAGCTTATTTCTCTGGTGGAGGCACATCAGGTCAGAGAAACCAAGAAATCTTACAGTGAAATAGAAGTTAATGTGTGAATGTATTAATTTTCCCTGTCTTTATATTGCATAGTACTAGCCATACTCATAAATATATACAGCAACATATTTGCAGTGTGACCATGCATCTCCTGCTAGACAGGAAAATGTTAATCAATAGACAATCTGACAGAGAAAGTGCAAGAGCGCTGAAATTAGCTATGTATTTTAAATGCCAAAATATATGTACATGTATGAAACGTGCTTTCTCTAAGTAGGGATGTACAGTTTTGAAGATAAGTGCACAATTTTTTGCTTGGAGTTCAATGTATGAATTCTGCAGTATAAAATTATGCTATTCAGTCATTAATACTCAGACAATACCTATTATCTTTACACATAAACACTTCTAGCAACAGAAACTAAATAATAAAATCATAGAATGATTTCAATTGGAAGGGACACTAAAGATCATCTTACATCAACTCCCTTGTCACGGGCAGGGATACCTTTCACTAGACCAGGTTGCTCTGAGCTTCACCCAACCTTGCCTTGAACACCTCCAGGGGTGTGGTATCCACTACTTCTCCAGGCAGCCTGTTCCAGTGCCTCACAATTCTCATAGTGAAGAATTTCTTACCATCACTATTCTAAACCTACCCTCTTTCAATTTAAAACTGTCACCCTTTTCTTGACACTCTCTCCCAGTATAAAATGCCCTTTTCCTCCAGTTTATAAGCCCCCTTTATATACTGGAAGGATACAGTGAATTCTCCATGAAGCCTTGTCTTCTCCATTCTGAACAACACAATACTGAAAATATATTCTTATCCCTGATTGCACACAACTGCCTCTAGGTGTGCCTCTTTATAATGCCTACTAGAAGCATCATAAAGAGAATTTAAACCTATGGATAATGACTCATATTTCTTTTAGATGGCATATGGGTTAATGCTATTGCTCATACTCATGCCAAGGCTGTGCTAATTACAAATATTTCTTGCTAAGTAAAACATCTATGATTAGAGCATGGAGGCCTACAAACCTCTTAAGTGGTACGTCCCATAAAATAAGCAGTCTTTTTTAGTGTCCTGTCATGTTTGCTGGCTTTCCAATGAAGATTAAAGAAAAGATGTAGCTGTCATCTGAAGAAAATCTAGTAAATTGAAGAAATCTTTCAGTATACCATTAACATTGTAACAATTAGACTTATATTAACAACACATAGATGAAAAAACATTACATGCACATATATTCTCCTAATGAGCTGCTGCTGTGTAGAGATGCATTTTCATCAGGCAACAGGTTCAGTGATCATTAGTCACTAGTCCTAGATCAAGAATAAAGTAGAATATGTTGACATTCTTACTAAGGAACATCTAGAAAATATAACCTGTCAGAAATGCATGGTCTCAAATGCAGTTAAACAGGAATGTTGTCTTGGAAAAGCAGCCCAGTGTACTGCAGTCAGGTAATTCAGATCCTCTCACGACTGGCAATGTGGAGCTGACTACAGACTATGTATGAAAGTTGACAATGAAAATCATAGTCCTCCTTTCTTTAGAATGTGGGATGTAAGATTTAGTGCAATATTCTGTATGGCTACTGCTGTGTTAAAAGTACCACTGTTTGAAAGAAAAAACCCTCAAAAACTTTGTTTTCCATATGGGTCTCAGAATCAAAGGAGCTGGATGTGACTAGGCTTAATTCCTGATTTTAACCAACTTGGCATTCTAATTCTGTTTGCAGTGCCAGGTGCAGCAGTAGTGTGGGTTACATCATTAGACTGGTCTCATTCATGATCTGATCAAAAATTCACCAATACTGTAGTTAACCATTGCAACACTATGTCTGGTTGACTTCAGCAAGAACTTTCAAAAACATGGATTTACCAGCAGTTCAGTTTTTTGAGCAACAAGTTCTAGATTCTTTTATATTGATGGTAATAAATTAGCTAGAGCTGCGAAATATAAATGTATAGTGCAATACAAAGGTGTTTCCAGGTATGCCTCAATGTGGTTGGAGGTACAAATCTTACCAAAGAGTCACCCCTAGTTTGTGGAGGAGAGAAAAACAAATCCATCAATTTTTCTGTAAAGTAGATGTATTCTTATTCTCTACCACTGAGAATTTTAGATGCCCATTTATACTTTTGGGAGAAGTGGAGATGTGACTCTAGTCCAGTATTTTGTCACTGTCATCATAAAGGGCATGGGGAAAGCCAATTTTTATGTAAAAGAGGTATATAGAGTGTAACAGATTTACAGACTGAGGGTCTTGCACAAGGACTGAACAGGACCATCACCCATTAGCATCATTCCCTTTTTTCCCCTGGTTGATTGCAGTGATAAAGGTCATCCAGCCTCCACCTGATACTTTCTCATTTTCTCAGCATGATATCGTGCCATGAGCCTCATGCCTCATGGTATGTCTCATGGCTGTGGGATTGATTTCCTACAGCTGTCTATGAAAGTAACATTTTATCATCACATCGGGGTCTGGCCATCCAATCAAGTGCCCTCCCCTTGAGGTTTTTGGTGTAAAGAACCACAGCTCTAAAGGAATTTGAAGTTCACTCAAGTGTGCTGCAGAAGTTCTTTTAATTTTATCCAGTTTAGGTGCTTGTTTTTTTGATGCCGAACATTAAGGTTTGCATAATAGCAAAAGAATGTAAAAAATTGTCAAAATCAATGGAACCCACTGTATGTATCTTATGCTGGAATACTAAATAATAGTATGTTTTGTGTTCTATTTCTGCATGAAAATGTATGTGATCGATGTAATTTTCTAACAATTGTATGAGTCTTTACTGCTTTGTACCTTCAATAATTTTTAAAGCTGCAAGATTAATGATATATAAAATCAATATTCCAGACATTCATTATCTTCCACTGAAATTTAAAATTCAATTTGAATTTCAGATGTCCGTCCTAACATTCAGGTACAGTGGGTATCAAGTAATACACAGCTGCCAAATTACCAGCATTACCTAACTTGTCATGTTTTTACATAAGACATAGAGTAATGGAAAACCTTCCTCACTTCTTTCAACAGGCCATGAAGACAGAAATCCTGTTTTAATTTCAGTAAGTGTTTTCTTTCTTGTCCAACATCTTTTCAAATGAAAAAGACGACATAGGCACAGTTTTCTGAAAGATCACTTTCACAGTTGAAGAAGTTTTAAGAAGACTGCATATAATTGACAATGCAGTCATTGCTATTTTTACCAATAAGATTCTATCCATTTCAATTATACTGGCTTAGAACTGAAGTGGCAAATTGCACCCGCTGGAAACTACAGAACAAACTAAAAAGTGTTTCAGTGCCATTGTTGTATGAAACTCTTTTCTTATTTCTGCTTCACCTACACTAAATGACTCATATTTTTGAGTAACCTCAGCTTTCTCATCTGTCAGTGAGAAGTTCAGGACCCAAGGCAAAAGGACTCTACTATTTTTTATTTTCTTTTCTTAAAGGGACAAACAATCATAATAATGAAATCTGTAACTTCATTATTGTCTCTTGCTCCCTCAAGCACCACTCAAAACCTCTATGCTACTAAGAGAGAATTATTTGAAAGATTTGGTGTTGTTTTGCTTTTTCTTCCCTTGAGGACAATTTCTGCAAAGAATTTCTAGTTAAATATTTTTGAAAGTACCTAGCCTTATAGATATTTGTACTGCATGAATAATTGTCAGGCTACTTTATTGTTAGATACAAATATCTGTATTATCTGATCCTATATAGACATACTTAATTCTCTCATTCACAGCGTGTGCCTCCATAACTTACTTATCAATGATAAATACAAGCATGAAAACCTTGTATTCATCTTGGAAGTGTCCTAAGGCACTCCTGGTTAAGCATACACATTTTGCATAAAAGGAATCTGAACTATGTGTGACAATTAATTATCTGGAAACAAGAGCCATGAATAGTTCAGAAAACCTAATAATTGCTTATTTAAATTAAGTTAGAAAAACATAATGATCTAAGTTACACATACCCCTCTTGAATTACTTGGGAAATTAAATCTTGAAAAGTAATCCATATATTGTGACATTAGAGCAATGATTTTTTTCATACTGATTTTCTTTTCTATTTTGTGTTAGTCATCAAAATGGAAGACAAATATGTCTTCGGTGTAATTGGAAAATAAATCCAAAATAATGTACCAAATATAAAATTTGGCAAACTGCAGTAAATTTTCTCACTTGCACCTTTATTTCACATCCTTCAGAAAAGTGTGAAAAAGCTAATCATTAAGAAATTACAAGAAAAATGGAGAAAATAAATTACTGAGTTCTTTAACACCTGCAAAAATTACTTCATTTGCTCACATATAATTTTGGGTTTTTTAGAGAGTATTATGGATAGTATCTAAATAGTTTGCATGAACAATAAGAACCTTCAAATATAATAAAAATATAATGGCTTCTTTTTTAATATTCTGGTCCACATTTTGTTTGTATGAAATAACCACACTTATAAACAAGAACATATACTCCACAGATACCAGCTGTGTTACACAGGTTGTTTTTACTCCTTAAGAAGATTAATCTATGCCCTAACAAAATGCTGGTTTTCACCTGGTCTTCCCACCA